CGCGTCAAAAACGCAGGTGAAAAAACGCAATGCAGAAACGGCTCAAACGCAACCTGCATAGATGTGAACCTAGCCTTAGTGTGGTCCATGTAGCTCAAACAATATTACCTCATAAATAGAAGACCTTGGCAGAGATACCCCAGTCCAGTAAAATGCTGCCCAAAATAGGACACACATGGCTTTAAGAAAAATACAATGTACAAAGTAGCTTTTTTCACCATACAAATTAAAAATTGATGATAATAATAATAATAATAACTATACCAGTACCCTCTACACACCATTAAAAAAGACTTTATGGCATGAACTATGTCTAGACGACAGCGTGACCATTTGTGGAGATACAAACTAATGGGCTCAGTGTACTATGAACCACCAGGTTCCTAGGTAAATGATGCCTCTTGATGCAGAAGCCAACCCTATTTCAAGTAATTACCATGGCTTGCATCAAAAAATTAAATTACAGTGCTTTGTAAAGTCAGCTATAACCATGTAAACCGTGGAGTAACTCAAATAAAAAAGTTGTCCCACTGGTTATAGGCTAAGACAGATATGAACATAGATGGATGCCCCTTTAGAGAGAAATGGAATTTCCACTTGTGCCGATAAACTGTAGAGAAAATTATAAGACAAGGATCTTCAGTTCCATACAAAACCTCTAAACCGGCATTTCTCCACCCTTTTACCCTTGATAAAGCATTGAAATAATGACCAGGTATTGTGGAACCTCTGACAAGAAATGACTACCTACAGCTCATGGTACATTAGTGCAATCAAGAAGCTAAAGAAAGTTTTGATCAAAACTATGGTGGCATATCTAGTATATTTGACATTCAGAGCATATCATTTAGTTTACAATTCCCTATAGAATTATTTTTATCAGTCTTGAAATTAAAAACAACTTCAGAAAAGAAAGTCACAGTTAAAATTGTGGTGTTCTCTTAGTGGTTAGTGCAAAATTGCCCCATTGCATTTGTTGTCAGTGTAGGTGAGAGATCGATCCACTATTGCTCACTGCTCAAGGAACTCCTAGCATCCTTAGGAGGGTTGCCAGGGTTCCACGGAACCAAGGTTGAGAAATGCTGCCTAAACTATAGCGCTTAACCATTAGTCCTCATGCACACTGGATGTTTTTACAGCTGCTGTTTTTGGCTTTTGCCGTTTTTTTCTACAGCTAGTAAACCCCCCAGCATGTCATCCTATGTGTCCATGCACACGTAGACTGTAATCAATGTTTTTTGGCAGGGATGTTTTTTGACTGGAAAAAAAAACCCAAACTAGTGGGTTTCTAGAGGAGTTTTTTAGCTGTAAAAACACTCTAACGCTGAAAAACATGGCAAAATGCGGTAAAACGCCACAAACCAGTGTTTTTGGACTTTTTTTGACCAAAAAAAAGTTTTGGTCAAGAATTAATGGCACCCGCCCGTGGGTCCACATTTCTCTGTGAGGGTGGTGTGGCTGCACGGATTTTCGTGCAGATCCGCAGTGGCACCACCCGCACAGATATGAACCTAGCCTTAACACTCATAGACTAAACCACCTGAATTTAATACCCCTAATCTGCATTCTCTTAAACGAAAGCTACTTTCCCATCGTGAGATAACTTGTGCAAGGCTGCATTCACACTTGAGCGTTTTGTAGCTTGAAGCTCAAAACTCCAAAAAAAGCTCAAATTTAATAAAAAAATCAATTGTTCTCTATGGTGCCTGTTCACGTGATCAGGTATGAACAGCCACCATAGAGAACAATTCATTTTTGAAGTTTGAGTTTTTTTGGAACTTCAAGCTACAAAACGCTCAAGTGTGAATGCAACCGTATTTTCACTGAACTTCTCCCTTTCTCTGTTGTTACCTCTTTTACACAATAATGTTGGAAGTCAGGGCTAGATGTAACCTGTCTGATCCTGAGGGTGTAGCAAAAAAACAAAAAAAGCCAGGGGGGCATACTGTCAACTGGTGCATGGGAGCTCCAGTCAGTGCCGGATTTAGAACTTGGGGGCCCAGGGCACTTCAACTTCAGGGGTCTGTCAAAATAGAGATTAAATTATATGACAAGTGGCATCATCATCAAGTGTTTAGCAAAATCATAGGCAAAAAAAAAAGTTACAAGCGGCATTTACCCTAGGTTCACATCTATGTGTGTTAGAAACGTTTGGAAAATCATGTGATTTTCTGACGTGCAGAAAAAAGCGCTGCATTTTGAAAAACATTGGCACCCCCATGCATCGTTATATCGCACGGTGCTAGTTTAGTGTGGTGTGTTTCTGGACGAGTCAGGGACTTTCTTGCACAAAGGGCTGCCCATTGAAATGAATGGGCTGCCCTACAGGCAAAGCATGGGAACATATGTAAAGTACACATGTGCACCTGCAAATATAGTAGTGTGAACTGAGTTTTAATAGAAAGTATATGTATAATAACACACGTACACATACGTCTATAAGTGAATATAAACATTCAGACCTTTTTTCTTAATAACAAACATGCCATACATAACTATTGTAATGGTTTTGCACAGAGCAGTACTGGTCCTCCTCTTCTTGGGTCCCCTGCCGGCGCTTTTGGCTCATCCCCACCACCAAGTAACCACCACAGAAAGTAGTTTGCTATGGTTGAGCTGGATATGTGTGTCCATAGACAAACAGAACGGGGTACCACCCCACCCCTCACTGGCTGTGGTCGACAGCAGCAGGAGCCAATGGCTCGCCCTGCTGTTTCTAAGCCAATGAGGAAGGAGAGAGCTGAGAGAGCCTCTGCTCCTGTGCACATTACTGGATCGAGATCAGGCTCAAGTAAATATAAGGGGGGAGGGTTAGGGGAGCTGCATACTGAAGGTCTTTAAGTTGTTATTGGGTACATTACAATAATAAAGTATGTCCACTGCACAGTCTTTAAAGGATAAGTTCTCCTTTGGGAACATTTGACATGTTTCAACTGATTTTACGGTGGAACATTTAACATGTTCCCACTTCTGAAGCCGGCGCCCGATCTGCTGCATCTAGTGACAGCTAGTGGGGATCTTCTGCACTCGCTAGCTGTCACTATTTTTTTTAAAACACAGCCATGTGGGGCTCCGCCCTCCCGGTTGCGTCATTTATTTACAGAATTCTGTGAATGGAAAACTACAAGTACCGACAGCCTTTGCAGCTATCGGCTTGTAGTTCTCAATAAACTACCACGTCACTAATACTATCTGCTAGTTGATTGATTCTTCCTGTCAGTATATATCTGCCTGCCTGTCCAAGGTACTCACAGACAGATACACTGGTAAGTCTGCAGGAGTCCTGCATGGCACCCGCAGTCTGCTGATTGTGGGTGCAATGCTTTCTAGGCTTCTAGCAAAAACAATAATAAAAATAATTGCCTGCAAAAAGATGCGCATTTGTTTTGTTTCTTTAAAGGTGAACTTATCCTTTACACTCAGTTCACACTACTGTGACCTGAAAGTCGCGCGACTTACAGTGCAACTTTGCCAGGTGACTTCCTGAGGATTTGTTGGTGACTTGAGTACATTTGATGCGTCTTTGAAGTAACTTTCATGCCACGCAACTTTGCCAGGGTAATCTTCCTGTAATGTCGGATCCAAATCACATCAATATAGATGATCTGACTTGGAAGCGACTTCCATTAAAGTCTATGGGCACAAGCCAGATAGAAGTCGCTTTGAAGTAGTACAGGAACCTTTTCTACAGTCAGAGCAACATTAGTAGTGCCAATTAAGCCAGCTCTCATTGACTAACATTGGATTTCACATGTCATGTGACTTGGGCTTTAACAAGTTGGATCCCAAGTCGTGGCAGTGTGAACTGAGCCTTAATGTAAAGTTTTTGTTTCTTTGAGTTGATTCATTGTTTCTATATTTTAACAATTTAAAGCGATTCTAAAGGTTTTTTTTAATTTTCTTTTTAAAATAACAAACATGTCTATACTTACCTGCTGTGTGCAATGGCTTAGCATGGAATAGCCTGGATCTTCTTCTCGGGTCTCATGCAGGCTCTCCTGGCCCCTCTCACTTGAAGGGTGCCCCCACAGCAAGCAGCTTGCAATGGAGGCACCCGCTGCTCCGTGTATCCATTCACACAGAGCTGCACCCTCTCTCTTCTCATTGGCTGCGTGTGACAACAGTGGAATCCAACAGCAGAATTGAGAGGGGGCTTAGGTCAGTATTAGGGGGTGCTGGGGGCACTGCAGCCTTTTTTTAACCACTTTAAGAAAGCTTCATTGTAATTTCTTTTCAAGATCAAATCAATACTCTTTGCATTCATTGTCACAGGGCCCCTAAATGGGGTGGGGCCCATAGACTGTTGCCTACTCAGGCCTATTTGGTAACATGGTACTCCTTGTGCTGCCTTTCTTCAGAGACAGCATGTCCTATTAAAGTGCTACTGAATGGCCAGCAAAGCAGATCAAACAGCCTTTTGCTTGTCAAACACCTCCCATGGACATTGGCCCCTGAAATGGTTCATGTTCCCTCCCAGGGTGGGTGCCGGTCAATTCCTGCTGTCAGATTGGCTGTCCCAGGATGAAAGTTACAGGCAGGGCAGTGATTGCAGACACAGGTTACCTCGTAGATCTGGGGCAGGCTGTGCTGCTTGATGTAGCTCCGGAGCGGGCCGTCTGCGTTCCGCAGAGAAGCCATGATACCAATGTTGTGTCCTGCGGATCGCTGCCTGCACTTCGGGAGAAGCGTCCCCTCTGCTTGTCTCCTAGAAACAAGCCAACCAGAATTCTCCGCCTCCTCCTCGGCAACCACTCCCACATTCAATCTGAGCTCTTACAGACACGCCCACTTGTAGAAACATGCAGTCCATGCAGTCCAGGGTCTCCGCCTCCTCCTCGGCAACCACTCCCACATTCTGTCAAGTAGCATGCCAACCAGATATTGCTGCCTTCTCCTCACAGTCACGCCCACAGCCTGTCTGTGTTCTTCTGGACACGCCCTCACCAGCAGCACGTTGTAACTACTATTCCGGAAGCTGCGCAGCAAAGATGGAACGCAGAATGTTACCGGCTGGCGGTTTGACTCGGGGCCTCGTAGGGCTGGCTTTGGGGGCTGGGCTGTGTTATTGTGCCTACAGAATCCTAGCCGGTAAAGGCAGGGGGAAGAAGAAGGAGCTTGTGACAGGAGGAAGTTTACTGGAGAGAGTGTCCAACATGACTGTAGTACAGAGTGTTCAGTCAGGAGGTGCAGGTACTGTGTGAATGGGGAACTACAAAACACATCCCCCAGTTCTGCTGCCCTGGGCTCTCTTCGGAACATGACGTGGTGTTTGAATATGTGAGGGCTGGTATTAGGGGTCGGGTTGTCACCTCATCCCTGTAAGGGCTCTGTACATGGAGCGTTCAGAAAACTCTGCATGCATTTCTGATGATGAAAAAAGGCTCTGGACATGGAACCGTTAAAAACGCTTAGAAATGCCGGTAACATCTACTCCTGAATGCAATTTTGAGGAGTGCAAAAAATGACTGTTAACTCAACTGCCTGTAAACGACTATATGTACATGGACATAGGAAACATTAGGGAGAGTTCAGGGGCTGCTGAAAAAACAGAACAGCTTCTGAACGTCAGTATGTGAGCTGCAGTGTACATGGGCCCTTAAACTGAACACATTCATTACACAGGCTCTGAGGTTCGTTTATTGCAGCTCAGGCACTGAGTTTAATCCGCCACACAACCTGTGTAATCAATGTGTTTGGGTTTAAAGGGATGATCGGGTGGGAGGGGGTGATTGTGTGTACAGGGGATTACATCTCCATCCCATTGGACTAATGAGGCTACAACACCAGACTGCTGGTTTATTTACATGCAGGAGAAATGATCTGAGTGATCCATACCAGCAGGCATGCATTATGCTCTGTAACGTGCCCTCTTGTGTGTGTTGTGTAGGGACAGTGCCATGTTTACCTTTTTGCACACTGGGTGTTTGGCCTCTGTGTGTCCAATCCCAATGTTTTAGGGCACATTCACACAGGTGATTAAGCGTGTCCTCCATGCAGAACTGCTGGCAGATGTGTGTGAATCCACCACAGAGCTCTGTACATTCTCGTCTGTCCACTTGTCAGACTTTGACATGCAATGGTGTCTGTGCTGCTGCTGTGTGTATCCGCTTCTATCAGCTGCCTGCACGCAGCCCCACAGTGGACATGCATCTGCCAGCGGTTCTGCATGGAAGAGATTAATCACTCCTCTCTGAATGAGTCCTCAGTGTGGGGATGGACATGAGTGGGCCTGGATGTATTCCCAGAACACTGAATACTTGCATTATGGGCATCTATCCCTGATCACATATCACCCTAAACATGAGTACCACTTAGATCCAGCCACAGTTCATTCAGACTTTAACAGGCTGTAGGCAGTGGGCTGGACCCTGCATCTTTGCCTCCTGCTTGCATGATAACTCCAGGATTGGACACACGGGTTGATTTACTGAAACTGGAGAGTGCAAAATCTGGTACAGCTGTGCATAGAAACTAAACCGCTTCCAGTGTTTTTTTTTTTTTTTTTTTTTTTCAAAGCCTAAAGTGTTATTAAACCCACAACAGTAAAATCAGTCTGTAAATGCAGTAAAGTGTACTTGTTATACCTATTGTGAATCCTAAGGGGGTTAATTCTCTGCAGTGTGTAGAAAGGCTGTTTGATCCTCCCCTTCTTCTACATCCTGAATACGGCTGCCAGACTCATTCACCTTTCCAACCGCTCTGTCTCCGCCACCCCCCTCTGCCAATCCCTCCACTGGCTTCCGATTGCGCAATGGATCAAATTCAAAATCCTAACGCTGACGTACAAAGCTGTCCACCATACTGCCCCGAACTAAATCACTGACCTAATATCCAAGTACCGCCCAGCACGCACACTCCGCTCCTCACAAGACCTCCTTCTCTCTAGTTCCCTGGTCTCCTCCTCCCATGCCCGCCTCCAGGACTTCTCCAGGGTGTCACCCATCCTCTGGAACTCCCTGCCCCAACCCATCAGATTATCACCTACTCTCCTCTCCTTTAGGCGCACCCTGAAAACCCATCTCTTCAGGGAAGCCTACCCCACCCCCTGCTAACTTGCCGACCTCCTCCACTCTTCCTACCACTCCATCCCCCACAGCTATCTCCTCCTGTGCCACCATCCCCTCCCTCCTAGATTGTAAGCTCGAAAGAGCAGGGCCCTCAATCCCCTAATGTTTTGCATTGTATTGGTATTGTTCTGTCACATGTTCTGTCCCCCTTTGTAATGTACAGCGCTGAGCGAACTATTGGCGCTTTATAAATACTGTATAATAATAATAATAATAATACTGTCCCCAATCTATATGTCTTAGCAACAGAGACAAGTCTGTAGATGCTGTCTGCACTAAAGTCTGTAGCGCTAGATATTTTGTTTTTTTTTTTTTGGGGGGGGGGGAGTATGCATGTGATCAACACACGACCAATCAGCACTTTCCAAGGGGTCAGGGATCATGCAACCTTATAGGACAGGCAGAAAATAATGAAAACTACTCCTAGAAGATTAACTAGTGCTTGGCTGGGCACTGATAGAAGTCACAAGACTTCTAAATACTCCTAAAGAGAAAAGGTATTTAGCAGTTTATATTTACTAAAATAATTGTATTTCCATGTTCTGTGTACTGTGAAAGACTGGATATAGTAAATGCAGGGTCCTGGGTTTAGACTGGCCATACACCATACAATTTTCTGTCCAATTTCCTTTAGACTTGCCTTCAACTATGTAGTGAAAGAGCCTGCCTAATTGGATACAGTTGAAAGTGTTGTTAGGTTTTACCTCCTATTATATGGTTTTTGGTAAATCTAAACCAAAAATCTCAAAATTGTGTAACCACTTCCATACAGGGCACTTTTACCCCCTTCCTGCCCAGGCCAATTTTCAGGTTTCAGCGCTTTCACACTTTGAATGACAATTGCGTGGTCATGCAACACTGTACCCAAACTAAAATGTTATCATTTTCTTCATACAAGTAGAGCTAAAAACTGGGGTTTTTATTTTTTGCTAAATTAACAAAAAAAACAAACATTTTGAAAAAAATGCGTTTTTCATTGTTTCTGTTATTAAAGTTTGCAAACAAATAATTCATAAATTTAGGCCAGGATGTATTCTACTATATTTATTTGGTGAAAATAACCCAAATTAGTATTTATTTAGCCTGTAGGAAAGTTATAGAGTTCACAAACTATGGTATATATCTGAATATTGATCAATCCTGAAGTACTGACAGCCAATCTCATTTCTTGATGTGCAAGAATGTCAGAACAGTACAGAGATCCCCCAAATGACCCATTTTTGCAAAGTAGACAGTTCAACGTATTTCATAGTGGGCATGGCGAGTTTTTTGAAGTTGTATTTTTTTTTTTGTCATTTTTCGAAAAATGAAGAAATGATTTTCACTATTTATTTTTTTTTTTCTACATACTGTCACCAGTGCAGTACAGCGTCGTCATATAACTGGCATGGGGGTGATCAGGGACACTGACTGGTGACAGTACGAAAAAAAAATATTTTTTTACATTTTGTTTTTATTATTTTACATTTTTTATTTTTTTTATTTTCATATTGCACTATGACCAAACTAGTATACTGTTACCATAGTAACATTGTACTACTTTGGGGAAGTGATCAGTATATATTTTTTTTTTTAACACAATTTGCTTACAGCAAAGAATTTCTTTGCTGCAAGCATTTACCTGAATGAAATCGATTCATTCAGGGTGTTTTTTTTTTTTTTTTTTTTTTTTTTGTGATTGGCTGTGATTTGGCCACGGCTTGTCACATGAAACAGCTGGACTGTGATTGGCCCAGCTTGTGCATGTGATTGCTGTGTCCATTCACAGCTAGACACACTTGTATACAATGAATGGCATGAAAGGAAGCCATCGATTGTATACAACTGTCATGTGACATGCTATGATTGGTCACATGGTACTGGTAATGGGGCTGGTATACAGATCTGTCATCGACCGTGTCCGAGGTACACGGCCGGTGACAGATTGCGTGGCCCTGCGGGCATGCGCACTGCGCGTTCCAGAGGACGCCATATGGCATCCACCCGGAGGGACGAGCTGTTTGCCCGGCCACCATCTGGTTATAGGCTGGGCAGCAACTAGATAATGTATGGCCAGCCTTAGTAACACTTTAATTGAACAAGCTGAGGTTAGAAGCTGATTGGCTACCATGCACAGCTGCTCCAGATTTTGCACTCTCCAGTTTCAGTAAACCTCCCCCACATGGGCCAAACACCCAGTGTGCATGTGACCTTAAAGTAGAACTGAAGACAACTTTTTTTCATTCATATTCGATACAGTAAGGGAGGGTTATAACTTAAATTATTTTTTATTTTTTTTGTCATCCATGTCCTATTGGAAAGATTTTATTTCCTATCCCAGAAGCATGGCAAGCAAGAAGGAAATTGCTCCAAATGAGGATATCCCTAGCTGGCACCGGAACTAGTACCCCCTTTGGAAGATTTCCCCTTTATTCCTTTTCTGGTGACCACTCAAATTTTGGGGTTCTCTTTATTTTCAGTGATAATGGTCACCAGGAAAAATAGAGAGTCCCTAACAATGACATGGACAGCAATAAAAACCCGACCGTGCACAAATTGAGGTGCATGATGTAATGAGCTTTACCTTGTGCATGCGAAGTATGATCATACCGTAAGCTCTCGTTATTTAGTTTCAAGATTTCCCTGAAGACAATAGTGCCGATGCTTTCCCTGGGGAGGTTGGGTATTAAAGCAAAGATTTGCTTTAATACAATGATTTCCTATGATCATGAGCTCCATCTAGTGGCCATAGTGTGGTATGTTTTCTGATTGAAGTAATTCAGGAAATAAACTGCGTTAGATGGACTGCCATCAGATGGAGTGGACAATCATGGGAAATCACTGTATACAGCACAAGATGGTCAGAATTTCATGCTTGTCACAATTGTCCCACTAATGTTTTATAAATAGACACAAGTGTTTATTTACCTGTGGATTTTTTATTTTTATTTTTTTTAACAGTCCAGATGGAAAACATCCCTACGTCAGCCAGTAACTTGGAACCACACCATCTGAAAGCACTCCTTGAAATGCTTGAGAGCAATGTTAATGATTCTTCAGTTCTCAAGCAGGCCTTAGTTACACTGTGTAACAGTGCAGCTTTCTCAGCTAAGCATGTAAGTCAAGGAGGCTGTCCAAGCTGTAAAATAATCACCTGAACATTGAAAGTTCACATGTCCATACATAGATATTGTTGAACATTCACATTAGTACACAATTACTTTTGGTATAAACCACATTTCAAGTGACTGGAAAGTTTGCAATTTTTGTTCAATTTTATTAATTTTAGTTTTGTTTTTTTCATTTTCTTATTTAACCACTTCCTGTCCGGACACTTTTACCCCCTTCCTGTCCAGGGCAATTTTCAGCTTTCAGCGCTATCACACTTTGAATGACAATTGCGCGGTCATGCAATACTGTACCCATATGAATTTTTTACCATTTTTTTGAGACAGATAAAGCTTTATTTTGGTGGTATTTATTCACCGCTGGGATTTTTATTTTTTTTACTATGTAAAAAGTCCAAAAATTTTGAAAAAAAGTGTTTTTTTTTTTTAATAAAATTTTGCAAATAAATAATATTTCATCCTAAATCTTGGCCAAAATTTATTCCGTTATTTTTTTAGTAAAAAAAAAAAAATCCAAATTAGTTTATAACCAAACATTATAATTTTTAAACATTTTTTTTTACATTTTTATTTTATTTTTTTTTATATTTTTTATTTTTATTTTTTATTTTTACATACTGTCACCCTAGCAGTACAGTGTCACCATGGTGACACTGTACTACTTGTGGGGGGTGATGAAGATTTTTTTTTTTTTTTTTTTTTACACTGATTGCTTTTACACCCATATAGGATGTAAAAGCAATCATTTCTCTTTCTCTCTGTCTGCATTCTTGCAGTCATTGAGAAATACTGAGTGAGCTGTGATTGGTCACAGCTTGTCACATGGTACAAGGCTGTTGTGAATAGCCTTGTACCATGTGACCTCTGTGATCATTCACAGATTTCACACGTAGTAAGCAATGATGTCACAAGTGACATCTTGCTTACTACTTTGCATGTGATCACTGATTCGCCAATCAGTGATCACATGACCGGGACCTCGTACAGAGGTCCCGTCCGACGATCGGTGTTTCACTGTGTCCGGAGGACACAGCGGACACCGGATCGCGGTGGTGCGCGCTCCTAGGGAGCGCGCACAGCTAGAAAAGGCGGGTGCCGTTTAGGAACGGCAACCCGACCTTGGACTGCCACCGCCCTGCCGTTTATAAACAGCAGGCGGACGGCAAGAGGTTAAATAAGATTACAGAATGTTTGTAGATCCATATTATGAACCATGAAAGGAATAGTTTATATTATCTTATTACATAGACCAAACGAGTTTCTATGTTTTGTCTATCATGTGCTAACTATGAAATCTATGGTAATAGGTTACGATATTGTTCAATCCATCCTGAATATACAGAAGAATATCAATCCAATCGATATAACCATCTCGTAAAATCCAATTTTATTTTTACATAAATTTTACAAGGTGATTAACCACTTGCCCTCCTGAGGATTTCTTTTTACTTTTGGCTATAAAAAATATATAGTAAAACTCAGTTATTCATAAATTTAGGCCAAAATGTATTCTGTTACATGTTTTTGGTAACAAAAAATAGCAATAGGTGCATATTGATTGCTTTGTGTACAAGTTATAGCATCTACAAACTATGGCATAGATACTGCAATTTGCGCCATTTTTTCCTATACAGTGCTGTACTAATTTACCTGACAATTGCACATTCATGCAATGCTGTACATAAATGAAATTTAGGTCCTTTTTTTTTTCACACAAATAGAGATTATTTTTCAGGTGGTATTTGTTCACCTGTGTGCTTTATTTTTCACGCTATAAACAAAAAAAAATACTGAAACTTTTGAAAAAAAAAACCCATATTTTCTAATTTCTGTCATAAATTATCCAAAAAACTCAAATTTCGTCATACATTTAGTCCAAAATGTATTCTGCTAAATTTTTTTTGTAAAAAAAATCCCAATAAGTGTATATTGATTGCTTTGTGTGAAAGTTATAGCATCTTCAACCTATGGTATATAGATAATGGAATTTGCACAGCTTTTACTTTCTGACTGCCTCTCACATTTCCTGAGGTGCTAAAATACCAGGACAGTAAAAACACCCCCAAATGACCCCTTTTCGGAAAGTAGACACCCTAAACTATATGCTGAGAGGCATATTGAGTCCATGGAAGATTTATTTTTTCACACAAGTCTTTGGAAAATGCTAACATTTATTTATTTATTTTTTTACACAGAGTTGTCACTTAAGTGATATGTTGCTCACACATGCCATGGGTATATGTGGAATTACACACCAAACTACAGTCTGCTACTTCTACTGAGTATGGGGATACCGCATGTGTGGGACTCTTTGGGAGCCTAGCCACATACAGGAGCCTGAAATCCAGTGACCACTTTGAAAGCCTGAAGGTGCGTAACTTCCTCATTTCACTTCCTCACTACCTATCACAGTTTCGGAGGCTCTGAAATGCCAGGATAAAACTCCCCCAAAAGAACCCTTTTTGGAAAGTAGACACCCCAAGGAATTTAAAAAGACGCATGGTGAGTATTTTACTGATCTCATTTTTTTTCTTACAAGGTTTTGAAATATATAAAAAAAAGTGTGTTTTTTGTTTTCTTTTTTAATTTTCCAAAAACTTTTGGCAACAAACAAGATCTGCAAAATACTTGATATGCTTCCTATCAAATTCCAAGAGTGTCTACTTTCCAAAAAGGGGTCATTTGGGGGGGTTTGGTGCTATCCTGGCATTTTAGGGCCTCCGAAACTGTGATGGGTAGTCAGGAAGTGTAATGAGGAAATCAAGCCCTTTAAAAGCCTGAAGGTGCTTATTGTATTTTGGGGTCCTGTATTTGGCTAGACTGAAAGTCACTCACGTGGGGGGTGTCTACTTTCCAAAAAAGGGTCATTTTGGCAGGTTGGGGGCATTTTATGCCCAGCATTAGAAGTTTATGCCATGCATCACTCTTCTAACCACTTGAAGACCAAGCCTTTTCTGACACTTTGTTCACATGAAAAAAAACAGTATTGTTTGCTAGAAAATTACTTTGAACCCCAAACATTATATATTTTTTTAAAGCAGACACCCTAGTGAATAAAATGGTGGGTGCTACAATTTTTTTATGTTGCATAGTACTCGCACAGCGATTTTTTTTTTTTTTTCTTTTCAAACGCATATTTTTTGCAAAAAATACACTTTTTTTTTTTTTTTTACTTTTAATGCACATAAACACAATATATTGGCCAATTCTTTGGTCAAAATGATGATGGTATGCAGAGTAAATAGATACCAAACATGACATGCTTTATAACTGCGAATGCCCCTGTAACGTAGATGTGGGATTCAAGTGATTGGACTGAAATGTGATCAGTAGCAATATGTAATTGTAAGTTTAGTTTCATTCCTCGTTATTAAAGAGATATTCAGTCATAGGTGTTCAGAGACATGCTCACCCATTAGCATCTGAAAAGACAGAGCAGCTTCCAGACTGGAAGTGACATCTAAGTGCCAATAAGGTGTGTATGTATGTGTATGTATGTGTATGTATGTGTGTGTGTGTGTGTGTGTATATATATATATATATATATATATATATCTATGCCAACTTCCTGAAGTTTAAAAGAGGAACGCAGACGTTTTGGCTTCATGACACCAGGGGGCTCCGATGTGTCTGGGAGCTTTAAAGTATATCAGCAGATCAAAGGAATAGGTTTCATCTCTCATAAAAGCTAAAATATTAGTTGCAGAGAGATGAAAATACTTCCTTCTGATTGGGCACTCTGTGAGCTACATCTGCATGTAAAAACCGTATTTGTTGTGGCCTAGGTAGAATGCCAGAAAAATACAGGAAATGATTATGTGGCGCCGGATTGCGACAGCTGAACAGTGATTGGTACTGTCGCGATCAGACTGATGCGCTGGTGTCGGAAACTCAGTCCCTGACATGGTGATTCAAACCGTTCCTGGTCCAATCGACTTTGGGCGTTTCAGCACCCAGAACGTATTGTGGGCTGGTACAGGAACACCCCCCAGGGTTGATTGGCCAAGGACTAATGTCCAGCCTACGTCCATATTCCCATAAATTGAGGAGTTGAGGTATGGACGCGGTGATTCGTACGGAGCCTGTCCTATTGACTGACGGATCGCGGACTTTCTCTGACTTGCTCCAGTCGCAGGATAACTCTTGGTAAAAGTTTTTTGTTTTTATTTCCCTTTTATTTTATAGTGAATAGTCAATTATGTGTCTTATTTGTGTGTTTTGTATTTTCTTTAACTTTTTATACTTTGTACATATTTTATGCACTGCCCACTTTCGGGATTGTACATCCTAAAATTAATAAATGACTTCTGGGTACTTAAGTGGGCTCATATCTCCGGAGAGATTAGATTGTATTGTATTTTAGTGTCTTTAAATGCTCGGTCAAATTCATTGCCAATCTGTATGCACTTGCACTGTGTGTTGGCAGATTGCGTGCAGATTGTAAGGGTGACAGGTCTGCCAGATGGAGGTGTGTGTGTGTGTGTGGTGTCCCAGCAGACCATTCTGCGGATAAACTGTTGGGTGGTGGCAAGCTACCATTTGTGGTGTGTCTGGTTTGGGGGTGTGTGGACAGTGGAAGAGTGATTAACACCGGGGTTCTGGCTTGTAGGATAGCTGGAGGTATCCTAGAAGGGTGTGTCAATCGCTAGGCTGCTCCTCAACCCTAATTAGTGCACCAGATTGTATGTAAGATTGTGTCTGCCTGTGTGTGTGAGATCAGCCAGCTGGATTGGAGTGGAGTCTCACTCTAGTCGTGGCCAGAGGTAGCGCGGGCTGTGAAAGTGTATCACGGCAGGTCATAGATAGATAGATAGATAGAGATATATATATATATATATATATATATATATATATATATATATATATATACAGTCATGGCCGAAATTGTTGGCACCCTTGATATTTCTCCAGGAAATCATGTATTTCTCACGAAACGTATTGCATTAACACATGTTTTGCTATACACATGTTTATTCCCTTTGTGTGTA